TCAAAGTATTGACCAGTCTGTTTCTAATATTTATGATATGTAAGCTGCTAGTGACCTGACCTGTGGCCCTGGTGCAGGGAAGAGGCATGTATGTTCTGCTGGGATCAGGTTCTTCACCCCAGACAAGGGAAAATAAAGGCTTTGTTTAAAAATGAAGACATCACTCTCAGGTTTATCAGCAGTACTGTACATTTTCCACTCTGTGTTTACAGGCATACGAAAACACAAATAAATACATGTGGAAGAGGGAAGAAGGTCAGAATATCAAGTGTCAAAAGTAGCCCATGAAATTTTATTGGTGGTGCATTTAATCAGTGCTAAGCGTTTTTTACAAGGTACATACAAACGGTGGAATTGTAAAAATTTATGGAATGCTGTGTACAGTGTGGCCATTTATGAAGAAAGGGAAATTTATATCCAGTTGAAATAAACCAGAGGGGAATGTTTTATGGAGACTTGTCAACAGCAGGGTACATCGAGAGAGATCTGGGTAAAGGGAGGATGGGGGCTCACAGATCTTTGAGGTGTTTTTCTGCTTCTTCAGTAGTGAACAGTTTGCATCTTTCTGTGGCTCTCAGATACACAGGATACTGGAGGCCGTAATGGTGTGGTGGATTTTCTGCGTAAAGGAAAGGAAACACAAGTGAACGGCTGCTACTGGTATCTCTGGTACAAGGCTCTTGCTCTTGGGCTCATTCCAGTGCAACAGTTCCTTGAGTAGCCCTTGATATCCAGCTGGGAAGGGTTAACTGAAGCCAATCACTTTGACATCAGCATTTTTTGTTTCCTTTTCCGTCCAGTATTTTGTTGATGATAAAGCACAGACTTAGTCAATTGAGAGATTCCAGAGCTGCAGAATCAGAGATAATTTAATTAACGGAATTGCTTGTGATTGCCCACTGGGACAGCGGGTAGCAATTGCTCGATTTAATTTGGAGAAACAAAGATCACATGCATGCTAATGTTTAACAAATAACCAGTGTTTGGGTTAAAGTCTATTTTTCCTTTTGCAAAGAGGGGGGCAGCTGATTCCCAGGGGAATTTCCCAGGAGATGATTGCTGACTAACAGCTCAAAGCTACAGATAGGTGCTTTTTCCTTACCCAGGGTATTCTTATGCCCTTCTTCTGGTCTTTTACCTGAACAAAGCACGGATTTGCTCAGGGGAGGAAAGTTTGTTCTTATTTTCAGTGCTCGGGGGGAGATGCTGCAAACAGTAGAAGAACATGCATTTAGCACAAAGGCTGAATACTAACACATGCCGTGTCCCCAGTTTCGCAGACTTGCCTCTTGGTACCCAGCTTCCTCAACTGCGACTGCCAAGTTGTTGAGGAGTTAACCACAAAGCCCAGAGAAAAGCGCAGGACCAAGCTTCCTCTGCAAGAAACCAGCCCTTTATGTTCTTGCTCTTGTATAAGTGTTCTTGCTCATGCTCCTGTTTGTGGTGATGTAGGTCCACAGCGCATAGAGCGTGAATGTGCCCTATTGATAGGTCCTCAGCCAGGGAGGACAGTTCAGGCATCAGTGAGGCCGCTCGCATGTTCTGGAACCCCAGAAGAGCAAGGGCTGGGGGTCCAGGCATTGCTTTTGCCGCAGTTGTGCTCAGCAGGTCTCTGGAGGCTGATAAATGACGTTATCCAAACACGTCAAATCAGAGCACTGAGGCGCAAAATTGTTCAAAGAGTCCTTCTATATCCAGCATGAGATCAAGGCAAAGCAGGGAGAGCAGGGCTGTGGAAGCCAGTTGCTTCTTCCCTGCAATTCCCTCTGCCTCCCTTGGCAAGGTAACTTATACACAGCCTTACCCTGGGTGTGGAGCTTGGCTTTCTGACCCTCACTCCACCCTGGCATTGCCCTGTAAAAATACTGCCCAAGCTGCTTCCAGCTGTGTCCGGGCAAGCGCACATGAGGTGCGCACGGAAGAGGGAAGCCTGAGGGAGTTCCCAAGATTGCTGCTGCAGGAAGAGTTGCTCCTCAGAGATGCTTATCTTTAGGATACAAGCAGCAGGTTGACGGTAAAATGTTGCTAAATGGAATGGCATGTGTCCCAAGTGTGCTGGCCACCGCGGGAGCCAGACACATGGGAAGTGACTCTTGTCTTTATTCTATCCCTGGAGGTAGTTCCAGTTTCCTTTATTTACTAATGTTCTCCCTATTTCCCTTGACCTCATTTCCTCTGGCTTTTTGGAAGCAGCCATGCAATTATCATTCACTTTGGGTTGACCCTTGGCCGCCTTGTCCCTGGTTGCTGCTGCTCCAAGAGGCTTTCCTGAATTCTCAAGTGCAAAATACTCGCTTACGGCCAAAACCTCTCTTTTTTTGAGGTAGGAGCTGCATCTTCAGCACTACACTGTGCATCAGGATTTGTCCTGAATGCACACTTGGCAGGGAGATCATGGGGTTTAAAGTCTGTCACAGCTGAGCTTTGATCAGCACTGGGAGATATTGCAGTGGCTAAAGCTCCCTCTCTTACCAATGCACCCCAGCCTTGTTAATAAATGTATATTTAACAATGTCTGGAGCGTATGAAGTGATAATAACTAAATCAATACCTCCCACATTGATTGTCCAGGATCCCTACAGCGTGACGCACGCAGCGGTGCGGTAATTTTCCAGCTAACTAGCACCCTGATCTACAGCCCTCCTATTGATTGGCCATTGTATCAGGCAGCCTCTGAGCATTATTGCTTATACCTCTATTCAGCCTCCTTTTCTGATTCATTCGTTTATTACTGGACAGGTACGATTATCTGGGAGACTTTCCGAAATTGGCCAATGGGGGTCAGCCATTTAGGCTTCTATAAACAAGCCATTTTCTATCTCCTCTGGTTGTTGCAGTGGCAAGTTTTTCCTTTTCACTGTTTGTGAAACAGTGAAAGAGTTTCCTTTGACTGTTATTGGGGTGGACTTGGGGATGGATATGCCTTTGCTTGGATCTGTTCGAGGAATCAACTTTTCCCTTGCTGAGCTGCCTGCCCTTCAGAGGACAGATAGCTCCACAGATAGTAATAAGAGAATTTAGCAAGGGTTGAGGCTCTGCTTGCCACCTGCTTTTGGCAGAAGCCACACTCACTGCCCTTACACCTCCAGTGCCCTTACTCGTGCTGGGAGAAGTGGATTTCAGAAAGTCAAGTTCAGCTGCAGCCTTCATCCAGCATCAGCTTGTTGACGGGCTAGACTGGAAGGGAAATAATTTTCTCATTCAAGAATGGTCTTCAAGCTATAAATAAATAGTTCTCTTTCTTCCTTGGACAAAACTAACACCTTTTAGACTTTCTTTGAAAACACTAACAACTCTTCCTTGAGGGTGAGAACCCAAGCTGGGATGCGGTAATAATTTATCCCAGTGAGTAGGAGCAAGTGGGTGGTTCACAGCAGGGAGCACTGTCTGCTACTGAAGCTCTTTCATTTCACTCCAAAGAATATTTATGGGTACGCAGACTTGAATCCACAGTGTCCCTGTCCCTAGGCAATCCTCACCCACTGGTCTGTCAGGGGACATGTGCGTTTCTTTGCCTTTTTTGCAGTTTTAAAATCGTTACCATTTCACAGCAGCTGTCATTTGCAATGAGTCTCCTGATGAAGATCTTCCCACAGTTAACTCGTGCAGAGAGCGTCTGATGCGTGTAAAGGCAGGAGTGAACTTGGAGGAGCTCTGTAACACTGGTACTTAACCAGACACACTCCTGCAGCTGCGGTTTCTTCTGAAGTGTCATAATTAGACAATCACTCAAGGTTTTTAACTAGTTCTGTTTCCAGAGCCTTGGGAGAAACCAGCAGTCACCTCAAGGGAGATACCTCAGGTTCTTCCCTGCGTGCTGGCAGTAAGTGACTAATGAACAAAGGAGTGAATGTATGCGTGCAGTAGGAGTACTGAGACTGCAGCTCACTTTATTAGTTGCAGTGATTCCACTAGACCTATGTTTTAGCCACCTGTTGATGAATCATGCTCTAAAAAGGCGGAACATGTGTGTGCTGCTGTGGGTTATGCTGTGATTGATGCACCTCCTGGTGGTGAGGGTACTTTGCAGGTTCTTCTGAGCTGGTTCTGCTTGGACAGGCCTGAAGTTCACTGACTTACATGAAAATTGCTGGTTTGGTTTTTCATAAGAGTGAAAGCTTTAATGTCAGTATAAAGCTCTAAACCTTTTCTGGGGAATTCTTGAGGGTCCCTCCCTGTCTGCACTGTAGAAATTGGGATTTTTGCAGCATGCTGGAGTGACACATCCTTGTCTACATTGCTCCCTGCATCTCATTTGCTAAGTGTTGCTGTCTGCCCTTGCTTTTAGGTTGGCAAGTTGCTCTTTTCACCAGCTTTGCAGAACCATGAAAATACACTTGTCTGCCCTCGGCACAGCACCTGTGTGACAAAAGAGATAATGCTGCCCATCAAAAATGACCCTAGGAAATGGGAAAGCAGAGATTGTAAAGCTGCTTTTATAGCCACCCCTTTGGCACAGTGTCCATCGCTTTGTTTTCTTCTTTTTTTCAGTATTGGAGCCTAAAAAGCTAGGAGTTCCTGTAATATAAAAGTGTTGTGTTATCTTATGTAATGAGCTGATTTTGTGGTTTGGTTGATGGCCAGCAAAGACATTTATTCTCTATGGGGAAGAGCAGCTCCTATTGTCTACAGAAAGTTATCTCACCAGCTTTAGAGCAATGTACAGAACTTTGTCCAGAGCATTTCGTCCTAGAGGAATCTCTTAAGGGGGATAAGAGGCAAAAAGCAAACAAATCTGTTCCTTAAATGCCTGTGTTTTGCGGAAACTTGCTCTCTGTGAAGCTGGCAGCCCCAGCACCGTTGTGTTCTGTCATGATGCGTTTGGAAGTGTTTAGTAGGACACCTCAAAGAATTCACACTGGGCTTCCCAGGAATTCTTCTGCAGCCCAAGTTGGATGTTTCCATTTCCTGTGTGGTACCTGTGATGGGATCCATTTCTCCCCAAACTCTTGACCAGTCTTGTGTGCTCAGTGATGCTCACTCTCCATCATCTTTTGCAGAATAACAGAAGACTCGGCAGTGACAACATTTGAAGCGTTAAAGGCTCGTGTCCGTGAGTTAGAAAGGCAGCTTTCCCGTGGGGACCGCTATAAATGTCTCATTTGCATGGTGAGTAGCACTCCACTTGTGGTAATGAATCAGAAATGCCTTGGTATCTTTGCTAAGGAGGAGAGAGGCTTGTCTCCTTTTTTTGGTAGAGTGGGGGAACTCACCTTTGTCCCTCTACACCAATCAGCCTTTTATATGAAGGTGCTGGGTTATTTTAGCAATTGAAATTTCTATATGCATTACACTGTTCCGCTGGTATTTGTAGCTGTCCATCTGTATGAGGGGTAGAAAAGCCACAACTTGAGACAGCTTACAGCCTTCCTATACAAAACTCCCAGATAACAGCTTCCCCTTCCTGTATGTACAGATTTACATCCATAGGAGAGAGCAGAAACTGTGTTCTGAGACTCATAATGTGATTTGGAAACAGGAATGTTGCCTGAGTGCTTAAAAGTTGTCGATGTCCTGCTTGCTCTGTGGTGATGCTGTGGCCTTCTTAAAGAAGAGCAGCAGCTCCCTCTGATGGTGTGAGCCTGTAAAGTTTCACATCTGCTGTTCGGTTTTTACCCTGCTGTTAGGTTTTTACCCTGCTGATAGGAGAAAATTCTGCTTGGTGAGGGCTCCCTCTACAACTTCAGCTTGATGCATGGTGCTCTCTCCCCCACCTCACGGCTTGTAGGTGTGGAAGCGCAGTCTGTGTCTCAGGTTAAGCAGCTTGCTGCTGATTTCCAGAGGTTTATTCACAATGATAGAAAATACTCAAGGCCTGCGCACTGACGTTGCAGCAGCACTTTTAGGATGCAGTTAAACTGTTCTTGCCAAATTAAGAGTTGGGGTAAGGATTAATCTTACCCTGTCACTGGTTTTCATATGCTCTGTGACCTTATGATGAGAGTGATGGCAGGTGGCTACAGCAACTTCAGATGCTCCTGCGATAACTGCTGAGCCAGGTCGCCACTTGAGTGGATTGTGGGCTTCCAACAGGAGTTCTGGGAAGTCAGAAAAAGGGACTGCAGGGGACTCTCTGCCTCTACTAGACAAACATTACAGAAATACAAACTTACATATTGCACAAGCTTACTTTTTTTAATGCAAAATAGAAGGCAATGTTATCCACAAAGAAGGACATTGTGATGGGCTTGGGAGCAAAGGATCAGTAGATCCCTGCTGTGGCAATAATCTCTTTGCTTCTTCTCTTCAGGACTCTTACACAATGCCCCTGACTTCCATTCAGTGCTGGCATGTGCACTGTGAAGAATGCTGGCTGCGGACTCTGGTGAGGCTCTGGTCTACTTTCTTGTTGTCTTACAGGCTTTTTCCTCTCTTCTGGGATACTTTATTTTAAATCACCACAGGGAAAGGTGCTTTTTGCTTTATTTTAAACTGAGTGCTGTGCATGCAGACTTCCCAAGCCTTGCAGTTCAAAACCCCATTCTGGCTTTGACTTGAATGAGTTTCATTGGAGTCATCATGACCAAAGTGTAGCCCTGCCCCTCGCTTGCTCCTCTGCTGCTGTGGGGACAGCCATTGCTCATGTAAGAGCTCTGTGCTGGGGACAGCCTTGTCTTGCAGTAGTTTCCTCTGGGACAGCCAGGCAGAAGGGTAAAGCTGTGAGAATGGAGGCCAAATCCACTGAGATTTCATGGAATGGGTAGCTTCTGAGAAACCTAATATTCCCCATGAAGCAAAGGGAATCATCTTCAGGATACAAGATATGAAAGGGAGCTTTTATGAATATGAATCTGTATTTTTCAGATTATTTGAAACAGCACTGTGCATTTTTCATGTGTATGCCATTCTGTTTTGAAGACTGGGGACTGCCTTGAACACTGAATAGGTGATTCAGTGCAGTAGTAATTTACACATGTATTAAAGGAGATCAGGTTAAAATTTAAGGCATTATTAAATTAAGTGTTTTCCTTTCCTGTGTTAGAACTGTGGCCTTTATAATCAGCCCTTAATGTCCCCTGTGCAGCTGATTTTCAAGCTTTCATTTTGCCCAGGCTGGGGAGTGGAATATAGTCAGTTACGCTTTCTAATTCTCCTGTTAGCAAGATGATACAGTGTTGGGTTGCAAAAAAATGCAAGGGAATGCCACTCCTAAAAACCATTCCTGTAAGGCATTACTAAATCTACTTTATAGAATATGTTGTGTGCTTGGAATTACGATTAAGCTGATCATACTCCTTTAAATCTTGCCTTTTAAAAGTCTTGTCCAAGAAAAGTTACCAGGATGGTGAAGTGCCTGTGGGCTTGAGTAACTAATAGCAACTCAATAACTTGGCTATCCCTTGGGCTGTATTTTATAGCTCTTCAGCTACACCCCGTCACTATTTAGATTATACAAGCTTTTGTAAACATTTTAGCAGCATGTTATAAAAGACACATATGTGGGTACATAGCTGGGAGGTGTTTGGATGAATGTGTGCTCTGCCACCTTTGCTAAGTGAAGAGTGATCTTGTCCTTTAGCGGTGCTGTAATAGAGGATAAAACACTGATTTCTGTCTCATTTTCTTTACTCTGAAGTCTTTGTCTTCTCCTCTTCCCACCAGCCTCAAGTCATCTTCTAAATCCGTGGCACTAATTTCAGGTTGTTCTTATCCTCAGCAGCTACTTAGTTCAACTTCAGTCAGGCGCCTTTGTTTCTTGTACTGTGGTTACTGCTGCTCGTGGGGATGGGGAAATCCCATTCCACGTACTCAGTGATTAGCATTTACCCTTGCGGGGGGGAGCCATCTCCTCTAGAATTCCCTGCGGAAGGTGGGGATGGAGCTGGCTGTGTGCTCTCCGCACACGGCTCTTCTGCCGGCCAGGCAGGCGGGATGGGAATAGTCCAGCAAGACATCATATTAGGACTTGGCACTTGCATAGGGGAAGCAATTAATAAGTGGCTACTCATGTGTTCCCCAGCCCCAGCCTCTCCCTGCAGCCCCCAATTTATTAAAGCAGGCCTTTTCACAAGGCATGCTTGCACTCCTTCTCCCGTCTCAAAAAAAATCTCCCAGCCTGTGTTCGCATGTTTCTAATGTAACCATTAAAATGTAGCCCGAAGACAGCAATAAAAACCCTGGAACGCCTTGGTGCTTTTGTGTCTTGATCAAAGTCAATGTGTGTAATCTCGTTAAGACTGCCCTCCTTCCCCCCTCCTTGTTTTTATGAATTTAATGGCATACAGCAGCTGGGCTCAGTGTTTAATGCTCACCAACCTGCATTGTTCTAATTAAGGTATCTCCTTTTATTTCGGGCACAAAAGAGACTCTTGTGTTTTTTAACAAGCGAGGAGCTGTGGGATAGTGTGTGTAATAATCGCCGCCGTTACCTTTCCCTGGGTATAAAGCTGGCTCCCCAGCGGGGGCAGGAGGAGGGAGCCTGCGCGTGCAGCACACATGGAAAGACTTGGCCGGGGAAAAGGGGCAACGTTTTTCTTCTGTTGTGCAATAAACAATTTGTTGGAGTTAATAGGAGCTGGGGCGGGTGGGTTGTGTCGGGCTTCCGGCCCCTTTTGAACATTCTGGAGATCTGCCATCCCTGCTGGTGAAAAGTCCCCTTTCTCCTATGCGCCTGTGGTTTGTGTGCCCGGCCAAGATCTAATGTTAAATTAGAGTGTGAGTGTGTCTGAGAGAGACGGAGAGAGGGAGGACCGTGTATTGAACAAGGCCCTGGAACTGGAGGCTCAGAGTGCCTGGGAGCACTTCTAAACCTCTGCAGGGTATTGAAGACAGGGTGAAATTTGATGTGCACCTCTGTCTATAGACCAGAGGAGGTGAAGTGGGTTTTAAAAGGCTTAAGCATTCTCTAGGATACAATGCTACAAGGATCTGAGCATCTCTGGTATCCCCTGACTTCAGTGGTGTCTAGAGCACTGATGAGGATTGGATCTTTAGAGCACTTGGGCTTTCTGAAGATGAAGCTTTTGGACTTTGGGCTCTTGATGTCCAGTTCCAAATTATAACTGTTCGGTTGCTAAGGGAGAGGATAGATGTATTTAACCACTGACTCTACAAATGTTTGCTGGACTCTCTAGCTTTGGCACCATTATATTAGAGCTGAGTGCATCCAACTGACTTCAAGTTGTGGGGGATGAAACATTCACCAGAGGAGACTCCATCTCTGTCTCCTGTTGGTGTGTTGGATTAGCATGAAGGAAAGGCTAGGTCTGCAGAAAGGGACCCTGGAGATGGCTTAAGAGAACTGAGATCACTGTGCTCACTGAGTTAGACTGCACCTCAGTGCCAGTAGGAGCTGCTTGGCTAGACAGTCCTCCTCAGGGCTGTGGAGAAAGGGAGGAACAGTTTAATGGTTTTCTCTCCTTCCACTTGCTATGTGAGCAGAACTGTTCTCCCCGAGGGCTTTGGTCCAGGGGCCACAGGTTAAAGATGTGCTGTACACTGTGTACGCTGTGGGCAGCTCTGTAGTTGTAGGCAAAACAGAGAATGGAGGCAAGCAGAAGGAGACAATAAGGTGTTACTTGATGCCATGTAATCGTGCCTAGGTTCCCAGGAAATCCTATTGGCTGGGTTTGTCTGCTGGTTTTGTATTGCTGTGTCTAATCTCACCAGTGAGCTTGCTACTCCCTGCTTGCTGGTTGTCTGGGGCACTCAACACAATGATATTTTTCATTCATCCTTCCTGCGTGCAGGGATCTAGTTGACATCTTCAGGTAACACAGAAACTGGGATATAAGCCTGGAATGACTTCCCTGTGATCCCTTTTGGAAAGTCCTGAAAACACGTGCTGGCTCTTCCAAGACAGGAGAGGGAATGGTGCTGCAGGAAGGAAGCTCAGCCTGGTCAGCAGGAGGTGGGATTCATTTCCCTGGATGTCAGTCCTCCTAGCAGCAGGTATCTATCCTCTGTGGGTTGTTGGACTGCAGCCCTGAGTCACTGGGTGATGGGGGATGAATCTCCCTCTAGTAGAGGTTTATCTGCCTCTTCTCCATCCTTCCCCATTAACTTGAGCTGCTGGTGACTGAGATTCATATTTTCCTTCTCCTGAGAAGAGTGCTTTGGCAGTTTGCTGCAGTGCTTTGCTGGAGAGGTCCTTGAAGGTGTGTGAGAACAGGTTTGGTGCGTGTCCATCAGCAGTAATTCAGGTTGAGGTGATCTTGCTGGGGAATGGGTCAGTGAGTTCTCGATGTCCCTCTGAGCTATAGTTCTGTGACCTCCCAAACCCTGGTGTCCTTCCTTATGAAGTAAATAGCATTCAAAGCTAAGTCAGTGGTGGAGCTGTTGGTGGGTGCAAGCAGGCAGGGGCTGAAAGAGGGCGGGTTTATTTGGGCAGATGCCATTTGCTGAGTTTCTGCCATCACCTGTACTGGGTCCAGCATTTCCTGTGTGTATTTGCAGACCCCAGGCTTGTGCTTGCCTGTCTTGGGCCTATTTGAAAATGACAACTGCAAGAGCAGGAAAATACCACTTCTAAAAAGCCTTCTTCACAGAGAATGTGCTTCCAAGGGACCCGTCGATAGATGTGTATGGTCTGCAGTTGACACATTTATATCTTTGGTAGATTACTACGTTCTTAGCCTCATCGCTTTTTCTAGGCTATAATAATGTATGTCCCATGTGGGCTGGAGCAGGTTTGTAAGAACAGTGCAGATACAGAGCTATCTTTCAGGGGGATTCCTTAGTGCTTCCAGCAACATAGGCACCTTTGGGTCAGCAGCTGCATGGACAGTGCTGTGCTTGATCCTTCACTGTTTCTATCTGCAATGAGGTTATCCAGTTATTTATTAACATACTTCAGCTTTGGCCTCCCAACAACCTGTGGGGGTGATCGCCACCCTTTTGGGGGGTCTTTGTGATAAAGATTGCTCTCCTGGTTGCTTTAACCCTGATAACCGGTGGAAACCCCACAACGGCAGTGAATGGCTGCTTCTCTGGGAATTAGCATTTGCAGAGAAGCAGCTGCCACTTCATGTGGAGACAGAGGAGGGAGACGGGCTGTTGCCTCTGTTGGGAATTGGATCTTGGAGTTCAGTTCTCCTCCTAGCAGAAGCTGGCTCTTAGTTTGGGTCTCTCTAGTCACCTTTTAGAGGTCCTGTCACATTTTAGAGGTTTTCCTACCTCTAAGCTAGGCAAGCTTTAAGCCTAGGTTTGATGGTAGCACTGTGTAGGCAAAGTTGCTCTGTGTGTGTCTCTTTATTCTCTGTGCCTGGTAGTATATTCAGCTTGGAAATGGCCCATTTTTAGGACCCACAGGACAGCAGGAAGTGCCTAAATCCTTCCTTTTGAGTTTTCTTGTTTTAGCCACTTTATAGCAGACGTCACACCATTTCTTGGTTTTTAAGAGGCAACTTTAAGACAAAATCCTCCAATCCTTCCTGGCACCATCTGAGCCCTAACGACTTCTCAACATCTCAGCTCTCATTAATGTATTTTTCAAACTAGGACCCCAAGTGATTAGCCTGTATTGTGGATCAATCACTTGCCAAATTTTAATTAAGAAAGGAGGAGAAAAAATAAACTCCATCCTGGTTTCCAGCCCCTTTGCATTGCTTTGTAGCAGCCCTGGAGCAAACTTCTTGCAGCAGAGTTTTATAAACCCCTCAAAACTGGGGTTTATAATGGAAAAGCTGAGGTGGCCTTTACTCTAGCACACGCAGCTATAACACATCAAGGCTTTTCCATGAAGCCATGATGAAAGGAGCAGAAGGACCTGGAAAAAAAAAGAAGAAAGAAAGAAATGGCCGACAGGTGGGACTTATTATTCCACAGCATTTTTATTTCAAGGGAAAAGTTTAGTAACCCCAGCTGGCAGGTGAGCAGTGGGGGAGCAAACGCTTTTTCATTGTGCCTGTGCCAGCATGTGTGTGTGTACAAGCTTATGTGCCTCTCTACAAGACAGGAGAGCTTAAACGCTCGTGCCAATAAATGTTGCACACCTACATCGAAAAGTCAGATGTAAGGAATAAGGTTCTAAGCAATTTCAATGTAAAAAGGACTAAAAAAAATCAGGACTTAGTTCTCAATTTAACACACATGCTTATGTGTGCAGGGGATGACAGTTTTATTTAAAAGGGGGAAAAAAGAGAAAAGAGAAAGGCTTCCCCAAGGGTCCAAAGTCATTATTTTTGCTTGAACTGTTTAATACCAAGCATAAGTACTAGGGAGACCCGGAGACCCGAGCCCAGCATGCCTTGTGCAGTCAGCCTGCACAGCATTCGGGCCAGGCTGCTGAAGAGCTCTAGGATGCCATTATTCCCTCCAATGTACCCAGGCTTCAGAGCTCGAGAAGAGCTGCTCTTCCCACGTACAGGTGAAGCAACATCCACCACTGCCCTAAATCAGTCTGTGATCATGAAGCTTCTGCAGAAAATGGGTCAGGCTACACGTGGTTGTGTTCTGCTTTCTGGCATGATTGAAAACATGGCCCTGGCTGCACATGTGCAGCTCTCAGCCTTAGGCGTGGGAGAGTGGGTCTCCCTACAGCCGTCAGCATGTGATGTAGAAAGCAAACCTCCAGGACAGAGATCCCAGGGTATGGCAGGGCAAATCCACTCATCTTCCCTTCCCTGTGGTGTGAAGGAATTACACACCTGATCTTACTTCGCCACGGAAGAGAGAGCAAAGCTGCAGTGGTTTAATCAGGCTTGTTCTGCCATCCTGTGGGCTGACTGCGGAGGACTTCTGCTTATAGCAAGCACCTACACAGCCTTTGGAGAGACCGGAGCAGAGTGGCTTTCCAGGAATCTGTCCTTCCAGAATTTCCCACAAGGAGGTCTCTGATATGTGTTAGCAAGGTTGCCCTTGGAACGGCCCACGTACATGTGCCTGCGGCTGGCTTAGTTCACCTCCAAATCCCAGAAGGGAGCACGAGATGCAGTGAGATGGCAGCACTGAGGTTTAGTTTTAGAAGAAGTTAACTCAAGGGGGGGCTCCTCCCCACGCACCAACAGACAAACATCTCCAGCAGAGCTAAAAGGGAATAACTACTGAAATGCTGTTCAGCATTGCACAGGAGCACTGAGGAACAGGGGGGCAGCAAGCATCCTTTGAGGCGTTTCATGGCTCAGGAGACTGGTCTTGCAGAAGGTACCTCTCTCCCTGGTGCACTGTTCAGAGGAGAGGCTCCAGCTACTTGGTTGGATGCTTTGCTGCTTCTTGCCATTAAGCTATGCCTGTCTAGGGAAGGAGAGCATGAACACAGATGTGTGCAGGAGTCACATCTGGAATGCCTTAAAGTCCCCATGCACACTTCTTGTCAGGGCTCGCAGGGGCAGCTGCCAGCTGCAGCCCCTTTGACAACATGGTGTGAATTAATTCCTCAGCACCTCCCTGCCACTTCCCCTGGGACACTTCAGCTACAAAGATGATTTGAAGAGGCCAGCCAGATGCAACAGGCGCCTCTGAGGACCTGGGGACTGCATGGCAATGCAGGCCTGAGCAGGGAGTCAATTGAAACAGGCTCTTTTGTGACATTTGAACCCAGATCAGTGAGCCCTCCTGAGCAGTGTTGTTATGTAGCCTGACCCACAATAGTTTTAAATGTGGCAGAAGGGGCAGATGTGTAGGTTTTTCTGTCCTACCTGTTGGAATTGCTGCAGGAAGTTTTTACTGGGACATAGAGCTTGTCCTTATCTAATGCAGCTTTGGATCTCCAATCCAAAGCTCTGGACTTAAGCAGGAGCAAAGGGGCTTGTTATATAAACAGGCTCTGTTAAAGTCCAGTGCAGTCAGTCTTCGGTTTCATCAGGCTTTTAAGCCTTTCTTTCCCACTGTGGTTTGTGCTTGCTCTTCCCAGAATCCAGCACTCAGCGAAGACTAGTGCATGGGGTTGCCCAGTGCCTTGCGCAGGCACAGTGAGATGCTTCCTGCCCCAGAATGCTGAAAATCTAAATAGACACGGTAGTTAGAGGATGGGATAGGTCCCAGACAGCTGGAAGGATGTGCCCATAGGCATCAGCACCACAGCGAGGTCCACCATCCAAGGCACGAGTGCTCTGTCATTCACCCTGAGAGTGATGTCAGATGTGTCTTGGGTGTCTGTTACGTGTTTAATTCAACTGTAGTTCAACAGGACTTTATGCATGGCTATTTTAGATCTTGGGTGCAAGTGCCTGTGGTTCCAACATGTGTCAGAGCAGCAGCTCAGCCATGAGCAGCAAAGGGTTTCAAATGAGAGCCTGATTGCTCAGAAGTCCAAAGCTTGAGGAGCAGCAAGCATGCAAAGTCCATGTCTACCAGGAATAATGGGAGCAGGGTTCAAGGCTGGCTGGTCTGCAGGGGCTTTTTGGTAGTACTCAGTAGTGCAGAGCAAACATGACTTGCACCTCTTTGGAGCTGCATCCTTGTGAATTACTTGTACCTGTTTAACTTCTCTGTTCCTAGGATTGTCCTCTCCAGATGCTCCTGAATCCAAGAAGCTTCTAGGGGAGAAAGCCCCTGTCCTGTCTCTGCTGGTGTTGTCACAGAGCAGAGAGGACCTTTCCTAAGGATGCTTGCCTTTTGTAAGCAGTGGTGCTAGGGATGTACCCAGGTGCAGGCAGCAGTGCCAAAGCAGCATGGCAGATCATGGTCCTGCCGTGCCACTCCATCCATGTCCTGCAAGCTGCCCACTCACTGCCGCAGGTACTGAAACAAGCCCTGCTAAGGAAGAGCAGCAGCAGCACTGAACTGAATGGCTTCAGTTCTGTCAGCGAGAGCCTGCAAGCTCTCTCACAGCATGCTGCATCCCTGGCAGCTTGCTTGTCACACCGAGCACTGGGTGTTAGCTGCAGGGAGGGCCTGACAGCAGTGAGCAAACTTGGGGTGCTCACACAGAGCCTGCGCTCAGCTGTGTGCAGAGGGAGGTTGTGTCGATGCTGTGGTCAGTGTTTAAAGCCAGGACATCCCAGTTTCCTGTGCTGGTGCTGTAGATGGGAGGCTGCCTTGCAGCAGAGACATCATTCTGTCATTTTTCTCATCAACTGTCTGTCACATCTGCCAATCTAATGATGACTGGCTTAGGTTGACCCCGATTCTGAGGCTTATTAACACTCTTTTGCTGTCAGGCTCGGTGACAGATGACACATCAGCCCTTGGTTTATTTCATGTCGTGTTCGTGTTGGCCGCCCATTTCCTCACCCAGCTCACATCACAGCTTGATGGTTGTAGCTCACCTTGGCAGAGCACTCATCTCCACAGCATCTCTGTGAGCTGAGAGGGGACAGGATGGGGTTCCCTTCATGCCAGCAGCTCTGGGTTTGAGGCAGTCCCCTGGTGTGCTGCCCTGAAAGGGATGGTCGATCCCCACCATGCGCTTCTTCCTTCTGGGTTGGGTTTCTGCCTGCTCAGTGACCTGAATTGGCTCAGTGAGGGCTGTAGGTAAGCAAGGGAAGCAGAAAGGAGCAGCTCTCCCAGAAGCCAGCGGTCATAGCGCAGCAGGACATGGGGCTCAGGATGATCCATCTGCAAAGACTCCTCTCCCAGGGCTCTTGTGCTGGGGACTGCAGTGGGATGAGGGGCTTGCGGGGTAGGGAAGAAAGGCACTGGGGCTTCTTCTCACAGCTTGTACCTGCTGTTGGGAGGACGTGGTTCTCTTGGAGGGGAAGTGGAATGGCCTCACTGCTCCTGTGCTGCTCCCCCTGAGGTCCCAGGCCAAGGGCAGGGCCATGCAGGTTGTCCTCCTTCCCTCTCTCACACCGTTCATCTCATCTGCCGGTTGCAGGGTGCCAAGAAGCTCTGTCCCCAGTGCAACACCATCACGTCTCCCGGAGACCTTCGGCGCATCTACTTATGAAGGACCCAGCGGGAGGGCAGGCCCCAGCTACTCGGCTCAGCTCATCCATCACACCAAGGGGGAGAGGAACGACAGCAACAACAAAAAAGACCTTTTAAAATTCAGAGAAGATGAAAGGTTACAAACAAAGCAGAGACTCCAGGCACGGACTCGAGGATACAGGAGCAGTGGGCTCGCGTGTTGAGACCTCCTTCAGCACCCGCAGCGGGCAAAACCAAACCCTTTGTTGTGAAGCCCCCTTTTTTAAGTACCAGTATTGCCCATCACCCGTCCCCTGGAGCTGGCTTTGCATCGCGGATGGCTCGTGAGCCCTCCTTTGGACTGTGTTGTTCACCACTCTGACCCCAGGAGACCTGGGGACAAGGGACCCTTGCCAGGAAGATGTTAAATAACCTGTAACTTGTGTTCTTCGTTCAGTTTCGTTCTGGTTTTGTTTTTATTTGGTTCAGTTTGGGTTTTGGTTTGGTTCCGTTTTGTGGTGTTCTAGTGATAAAACAAAAAGTTTAAAGGAAAAAAAAAACCCACACCCAGGCAGAAATGAAGCACATGTAATATAGATTATATATGTTTACAATGTTGTGTATAAATGGGATAGACTCAAACATTACATACTAATAAGTTTCCCTTTCTGGTTTGTTTTTTTTTTTGGGTTGTATTTTTTTTAAAGAAGAAGAAAAAAAAAATGAGCAGAGAACATTAAACCCATATTTTTCTTGGTTCAGCAAAGTTTTGGCATTAAAGTCATTAGTTTAAACAAAGTATATATATACATATATATAATATAAATGGTTTAATGTTCTGTGGTGTATATTTCCTCATTCAGATATGAAGTTAACAGCTTTTAGTAATGGCTGTAGCATTGCCCATAACTTACAGAACTTATGGGGAGTAGAGGAGGTGGATTTTTGTCATTAGTTGTAGCTAATGGGGCTATTTATAATAGAATCGTTATCCCCGGAAAGACACGGCTTTTAACTCCTCGCCAGGGGACCGGGCAGGGCGGGGGGATCTGGCTCAGCCCCCTTTGCCTTTCCCAGCTGGAGAAGGAGCAAATGGTGTGGAGCTGGAGCCCCTCGTGCCTCCTCCAAGGCCGTAGCCCCTGCCCCTGCCTGGCTTTGCTTTGCTGCTCCCAGTGCCAAGGCAGGATGCTGGGAAGCGGTGGGCACAGGGAGGGATGGAGGGGTCTGAGCGATGGCTTGTTGGTGGCTTGGCTGGGAGGGGCTTGGCCGGTCCCCTCGGTGCCCTGGCAGCCAGCACTGCAGAGCCAGCCCCTGGCTTCTCACAGGTCTCTCCTCCTGCAGCCTGTGTTTGCAAAGGGGATTTTGGCGCTGAGAGCCAGCCCTGCCTCATCCCCAGGGCTTCCCAGCTGGGATGCTTCCAGCTGGGGCCAGAGGTTCCCTGCAGCCCCAGGTTCTTCCACGCGGTCCCTCATGCTTGTCCCTGTGTCCCCTGTCCTCAGCCTTAACCAAAGCTGCCGTCTGGCCTGTTGTTTTGTTGGTTTTTGTTTTATCTCCAGGACCCAGGAAACAGATTCTGATCCATTTCCCAAGGTGAACGCATGCCCTGTGTGCTGACTGCTCCCAGCCCCAGCTTCCCGGGCAGCCATGGGGTGCCAGCTCCCCAAAGTCAGAAGACAGGGAGATGGAGAAGCTCATCTCCTCCACTCCCGCTGGGTCTTTCCAAGCAGATCCCACCTGGCACCACAGAGTGGCTGGGGAATTTTAAGACAGTCCAGAGCCAGCAGTGGATGAGGGGTTTGGAGCTGGGCACCGCTGGGCTGATGGGGTGTTTCCAGAGAGGGAAGGGATAGGGAGGTAGGATGCCTGGAGTGATAGTCCCATTGCCACTTCTCTGCCCTGAGCTTGGTGCTGTTTTGCAGAGAACAACTGCTGCCCTTGGCATCTCCCAGGTGATTCCAGAAGGATCCCACTGCACCCAAACCAAATTGAAGGAGCTGTATTTACAAACACCTCAGCAAAAGGCAGCAGTTCCCAATTGAGATGCATCTCCTGGGTGTCCACGCTCACAGCAGCATGGTGGTCTCAGACCAGAGCTGCAGCCTCCCCTCCTTGGGAGCACATCCCTGTGGAATGCCTGGGGACCAGAGGAAGCCAGGGCACTCCCATAGGGTCCTGCCTCCCCCTGGGCAGGGGAAGGGGCTCAGCGGTGGGTAACCCTCCAGCCAGCAGCACTGGGGATGGGGAAGGGCAGGGACAGAGAACATGGGTCTGGGTTTATAGAGGTGGGAGGGAAGCTTTGGGATGAGTATGGATGGGCTGTGAGTGCTGGATTTGGAGAGGGTGCAGTGGGTTTGAGAGGCAGGATACCCCATCCTAACCTTTCATTGGGAATAGGCCCCAGGAGGGAGCCAGCCTTTCTGGCGGGTGTTGTGGACCAGCCGTGTGCTCTATGTACGTCTGTGTAAAGCCACGTGTAACTCGTCGTTGGTTCTTGGTTTTGGGGGTTAGATTTTTGTTGCTTTCTTTGGTTTCATTGTAAAGCCATCCCCTGTTTTCAAAGGGGGGCTGCAGGGGGAAGGCTGGGGAGAGAGGTTGGTCACAGGCATCCGCCACTTCCCCTCTTCTGGAATGAGTTGAAATGATTTAAAAAAGAAAAGAAGACCTATTGGAGTTACCTATCTTTGCCCAAAGAATCCCAGTTGCACAAAGCGATATTCCAGTGTGTCGATGATTGTGTGTCAGTGTATATTATACAAAAAGGTACTTGTCACTCCCGTTTGTAAACTACATTTGACATTAATTAAACAAGTATAAATCTTCTCAGGCGCTTTCTGCCTTTCTGTGTTTCCCTTTGCAGGTGAGAGGCAGCCGAGGAGACACAAGCCCTGGATGTTGGCAATATCCCAAAGGAGAGCCCCAGTCCTATTTGGGATGCAGGGACAGATGCAGCAGCAGCACCCCCTCCAGACCCCACCATGGATGGTGTGTGTCCCCCCCACCCGTAGTGCCAGGAGGGCAGGGTGAAGGGCACACCTCAGGGGACACCCCAGTAATGAAGTCTCATCAGCTGCATTAGCTGGGGGCCAGAGGCGCCCAGCCCCAACAGATCTATACGTCCTGCATTAGGGGCCACCGCCGCAGTATAGGGTTACCCCCAACAACAGGCACTGGGAGGCTGCAGGGACGGGGCTGGCGCCGACGCTTTTGGTTTACAAACATTCAGCAGATGGGTCGATGGGGTGGTTTAACCCCACCACCCCACCACCCCCCCCCATGGCTGCATGCACAGTGATGGGGTGCTGGGAGTCCCCTGGAGCAGGACATCAGGGACCTCTTCCCAACTGCAGTGGGAAAAGATGGGGAAAGGGGTTGATTTGGCCGCTGATTTGGCTGGCAGGGAGCGAGCAGAGCATCTCAGCCCATGGGAGGCCTGAGGGCAGGGTGAGGGGCAGGAACCCACCCTCCTCCCCTGCACCCGCCCCGCAGCAGGCTGCTAATATTTTATTTAGGATATCTTTAGGAAGCGGAGGCCCGTGATGTATCGGAGGTATTGAGAAAATGCTAATGTGTAATAGCGTGTGTCTGGGGCCTCGTTCATCACCCGGCGCCGCCTTCTGGGGGATCCATATCTAATTAACAGTAATGAATGAGGGAGCCCACCTAATGACAGCCCGCCAGTTTGTTATGGAAATGAGGCAATCCCATTAGGCAAAACACTTAATTAAACAAACTGCTCCGAATGGAGGCCGGAGCAGGATGGGCCCAGGCCCTTTGGGGGAACTGGAGGGGGGGGGGGGCTGTGGTATCCAGCCCCCCATATGCCGGGTGGGGGCACACAGAGGCTTCTGCAGCCCCACAGTGTCCATGGTCAACCCAGCAGCAGCAGGCTTGGGGAGCCGAGGGGGACCCAGTGGTGAGGGCTCCAGCTGGGGAGGTGGCAGCAGGGAGGTTTACATCTCCCCCCCCCAGCCCTCATCTCTCTGCACATCGACGGGCACAGAGGCGGCAGAGGCCAAACACGGATTTCCAATCATATGTGTGTACTTGGCTCCTGCTCTATTGACATTGAAGCAAGAAGGGCTCAAGGTTAATTCCTTATCAATACCCTATTGTCAGCTCATTCATCACCCAGGGAGGGCAGGAGCTGCCCAAGCTCTCCCTCCTCCAGCCCCCCCGTAGGTTTGGGAGGGTGACCAAGGATGCTGTGCACACCTCTGCCCACCCCAGCCCTGCCTGGGCCACCCATCTCTGGCCAGTGGTGCTGGGGTGGGCTTCCAGCCGTGTGAGGATGTAGAGATGAGGGGTTGTGGGCTCAAGTTCAAGGGCAATGGGATGGGGAAATGCTGTGCAGGCAGAGTGAGCTGCTGCCTGGTGAGCCCCTGCCCTGGGCTGGGTGCAGGAGATGTGCATAGGAGCTGCATTGGGGGGTTCAGATAGTGCCTGTGGCCCCCATTTGTGCTGTCATGTTTCCTGACTGCCCTCCAAGCCCCAGCCCTGTGTGCTGTGTGGTCCTACCAGCCTTTTAGAGAGCAGTGCTAAGCTCAGGTCCCTCGTCAGGGCTTGGGGGCTACAGGGGACCCGAGGGAGCTCCACAGTCCCGATTTGTGGGGTTTCGAGAAGTTGGAGCATGGTCTGTGACCACAATATTGTATGGATTTGCTTTAAAGAATAGTTAGCCCTCTCTGTGCGATGGGTAGGGAAGGTGCAACCTGACCTCCTGATGTGGGAAGAGCAGTAATGCTATTCCTGACATCAAGATTCCAGTTTATGTTAAGTTGAAGCTAAGAAACAGTATCTAAGTACAACTTCCCAGGGTGTGCAGCTCCAGGGCCTGTTGCTGTTCTCTATTAGCTCACCCTCTCCACTCCTCGCCATCAGAGTTTGCTCTTGCTGGTCTTTTTCCTTGCCTCACGAGGGTCCTTTCTCGCAGGCACACGCTCAGGTTGGGTTCTCCTCGGGTGGGAATCTCCCCACGCAGGAAGGAGAGCGGCTGCTGCCACCTCGTGGAACGCTGCTCTGCCCGGATCAAACGCCCCAGCCTGAGGGCTGCTGTGGCCACCCCCTACCAGCTCTGGCCTCCATCACCCCCATGGGGATGGAAACCAGGCTCACGCCTCCCCCCTTCTCTTTCTGGCAAGCAGCAGATGGAGCTGGGTTGCTCGGGTCCATTCAGGCCATTCACATTTCTCCATCAGTGGCAGACCTACGTCTGCAACGTCCCAACACAGATGAAGATGGGAGCTCAGCGCACAAAACGCAACAACAGACTCGGTTTAAAACAACACCTTTATTAGGCACAAGTCTTTGCTCAAGGGGCTGCTTTGAATTAGCTGTGCTGCAAGATGCTCCCTCCTGCTCCAAAACGTGACCCCTGGCTGGGCTGGATCATGCCCCTGCTCTGCACCAGTCCAGACCGCAGCCTCTGCCAGTGCCATGGGCCACCCTGGCTACACAGGCACCCCCCCAGCAGAGATCGCTCGTGCCATATCCTGCTCCCATCCCACAAGGCAAGCCCAGGGATGCTGCATTTTTCCTCCCAAAGACCACATCTGAAATAAATACCCTCCCATAGCTCCTCTCAGATATTTACTTGGATTTACCAGGATATCCCAACCTTTGGCTTTCAGTGTTCGGGCTGAAGCTCTTTAGGAACCCAGGCTGCACCAAACTGTGACAGTTTAGCAAGGATTAAACATCTGAAGCTGGATTTTTTAAATCCAGTAGTGCTTGGATCAGTTCTTGGCCGTGTGCCTTCAGGCTCCAAGTTATTAACCTTCTGTTTTAAATAACAAGCAACAGAAATAAAGAGGGCAGAAAGGGGACTGTGAGCATACATACTGTATAGGCAAGAAGAAGGTGATGTATCAGACAGTACATTTAACACCACTGCTCATAAGCATAATTAAAACTGGCTGGGACACAGAAAACGAAACCCACCCAGGAGATATTGATGCTGATGGTGCCTCCGTAAATCACTGGCTTGCTGGAGAAGCCCCTGCTCTTAGAGAGGTGTGTGCACTGACTAGCCCTGAACTCCAAGTCAAGTTTGAGCAGTGGAAATGCCCATGAGCAGGTTCCCACCTGTAAAGCCCAGGGCATCTCCAACTGCAGAGCTCCGGCACCTGCTCCCTGCCTGCTGCTGTGGAAAGTGGGGAGCTGGAGCAAAGCTGTACTGAATTAGGGAAGCAGCAATCCCATGGTGGGGAGGTGAATGTGGAGCTGACACTGGTGAGGCTCTTCCCAGAGGGAACCTCGCCACCCTGTTGCACAGGGACAGAGGGTTTAGCTCCAGCTCCTGCCAGCCATGCTCTGCAACAGCCCAAGTCCTTAAACAGGAGAAGTTCCAACACCCACAGCAATAAACAGGAACAGCAGATTCCCAGCCCAGCACAACTGCATTAATCCAGTATGTTACGGAGTGTTTAACTGTTCTGTAAATACTGAACCCATAGAAACCAGCATGAGGGCAAGCGCTACTTAAATAACCTTTTATCACCCCTACTCCCTAAGAGTTTTCCCAGTGCCACAAACGGGCTGGATGCTTAGCAGACACAGCCCAGATCCCTGGGAAGGCAGGCAGAGCACAGCTCAGGAGTTACAGCACAGCCAGCACAAACCAAGGGCCTGCTTTAAAAAGCTGCGAGATCTCTGATCTCTGGGTATAGGGGACCATGCCTGGATTCTACAGGCCGAAACTCTAGGGGGTTTGGAGAAGCAGCTGGCTGAAGCTATCTACCTATCTTACCCAGGGCAATCACAGCTCATCTTCACAGTGGCAGCTGAAACTGGGATCACAAGTACAGAAGACAACCTGAGCAACAAGGACTCCTGTGCCTGGAGCCAGTTCTTGCTTTAAAAAAAGCTGAAGATAAAACAAGCTATCAACACCTTTTCACTTAATTATCACCTGCCTACCCCAGTACATCCTTTACAGCCATGCCCAACATGGGGTTACTCTTCACTTTAAACAAATGCTGCCACACTAGCCTGCTAAAAACAGTTGTGCTGGCTGCCGTCCACAACCCACCCTGGTGTACTTCCACAGAGAGCTCCCTCTCTGCATTTCGATTCAGAACAGCAAGTGCCTTGTAATTGTGGATGCCAGCATCCCAAGGGTGGGAAAGACAAGCACAGCAGCCCACAGGCAGCAAACAGCCATGAAAACCCTCGTGCTTTTTATGTTCCTGCTTTACAAGGGCAGGCCCTTGCTCAAACAAGCCTGTATCACAGCCCTCCACAGCCTGTTTCTGGCAATCTTGGACTGGGAATTTAAAGTTGGCTAATCCTGTCCACCACAAGGTTAATTAACTGGCAATGCTGTGACATGAACTAAACATACTAGCAGGCTCTCTTCTGTCTTTATCACTGTTTCTCCCACAAAGAAACAACAAACCCCAAAACCAAACGTGGCTGAAGAGCTGTACAATGAGCAACTTTTTCACTAGGTGGAATTAATTTCTTGTATTACTGGTACATGCTGCACATACAGCAAAACCTGATCATCTGAAGAGAACATTATGGGGAAAAACATTGAAAGTCACAGTCATTTGTGGGCTGGAAGTGACTTAAGACACAGCCAGCATAAATCATCGCTCCAAGAGACAGTTTCATTTTTCTTTGTAGTTCCACCTTTCTGTTTCTATGGTCTTTGGGGTTACAGCTGTGCCAGTTTCCCTGCATTTCCCAATGCACACTATAGGCTGCTCAGAGACCCACAATAATAAATCAGAAGTTCTCATAGGAAGCAAAACTACTCAGAAGAACACACAAAAGACTGGAAGAAAGAGAAACAAACACAAGACACATTCAAAAAGGTTAA